ACCTCTCCTGTTTCCCAAGACTTGGCAAAGAACTTGGCAAACTTTTATCCAGACCAGAGAGATTTTTGTTACTACAGTAGTGGCAGGTCAGTGAGAGCCACTTGTGAGTGTTCCAACTCTGCCCTTTTAGGCTTGAGGATACCTTTCAAAGGATATGCAGATCCTTTTTTTGTACAGCTTAAGTGTTTGCCCCCAGATCATGAGAAGGGCTTCAGGCCCACTGCAGTGGGTAATAATCCTGGAGGACAGAGCAAGAAATGTTTCTAAAATTCAGACATTGTCCCAGAAGTGCAAAAGCTGTGGAGTGGTAAATGAGTTATCTGAGCTGGAATCCTGTACTGTTAGGATGGCTTTACATTTGGATGAGTCGTGCTACATGTCTGCATTAAAAATAAAAAACAGTTTCCTGGGAGACAGAGAGGCAGTTAGCATTTTGGTCTTTGAGCAAAAATTTGTGAGACAAGCAAAGAGAAGTTTCTCCCAGTTTATAGTTAAATGTCTGCTGCAGTGGTGGGCTTGTCTCTTTCAGGGCAGGAGAGACCATCTGGCCTGAGTAAAGATTTCAACTTTTTTTAAATTTTCCTGCAAAAACAGACTTACTTTGGAGCTTGTACATGTCTCCATGTAGTGCATAGAGATAGCCAGATCTCTTGACTGAGCTGGCACAAATACCAGCAGCAGTTTACAGCTTGCAGTGGAACATATCAGTAGTTGCACATGCAGCGCAGACATACCTGCCTGCGTAATTTGTGCTGTGTAGATGAAGCAGAAGATTTAATGAGAGGAGAAAGAAATTAAGCAGTGGTGTGTGGTTATGTCCTGTTTGATGATTGTCAGGGTTTACCTGCTGTTAGTATGTTTGGTGACGTGGAGGCTGCTGGGGAGCAAGAAGAGCAGACCAGTCTCAGGGCAGGCAGAAGAATTGCAGCTGTTGGATGTGGCGTTTGAGAAAAGCCCTGATTTTTTGGGACTTGGTTTTGCTACCCAGGTGCTGTATGAATTGCCCATGAACACACAGTGGTGCTTTGACATCCAGTGGTGTCCCAGGAACCCCGCTGTCTTGTCTGCAGCTTCGTTTGATGGGCGGATCAGTGTTTACTCCATCATGGGAGGCAGCACGGATGGCTTGAGACAGAAGCAAGTTGACCAGGTATTGAGAAATGTTCAGCTAAGAATATTCACAGAAAGAGTGGGAGGGGAAAACATGGGCTTGTGGGAAGTCTTCAGTGGCTGTCTGCAGCCCTGCTGCAGGAGTACCAATCCAGTGCAAATAAATGATTATGTTAAGTGACATATCTCCAATAAACTAATGTTTTTCCCCCCTTTTTTTATGGAAGCTTTCATCCTCTTTTGGGAACCTTGATCCATTTGGAATGGGACAGCCTCTCCCACCTCTGCAGCTTCCCCAGCAGACTGCCCCACAGAGTGTTGTCTTGCCCCTAAAGAAACCACCCAAATGGATCCGGCGACCTGTGGGAGCATCGTTCTCAGTAAGCAGGAGACAAGGCTGGGCATGGTTGGTCAGGCAGGGAGGGAGATAGTGGTGGCACCTGCAGAACACTTAGGAAGAGAGGAGTTCAGCATTGTGTTCCACCCTGGGAGAACTTCCTCCATTTGTCATGGTGGTGGGAGCATGGCAGCTTCCAGGCTGGGCACCTGGGACAGAAAGCCAGCAGAATGTGACCAAAAAAAATGCTTGGGAAAAAGAAACAAGGGGGTACTGTGTCATCAGTAGTGCCCATTTGTTTTTTTCTGGTTTGGGATTAGGGCTTTGCTTTTATTTAAGTGCAGTGCTTACTTTGTAGTAAACAAATATACATTGGGAGGGGGAAACGGAACCAAACTGAGCAAGTATCTGAGACATGAGTGCAGCTTGAAGCTGTCACGTTGAGTCAGTGTGGTGGAGAACTAGGTGAGCTCTGATGGAGTTGCTGTAGGGCTAGGCTCCTCCATGGTTGATTGACTTGCAGAGGAGCTAAGTGAGAGGGTAGCAAGGCCCTACTTTTTGTAAGAGCAGAATTGCCTGCTCTTTGGCTTCACCTTCGGCTTATTTTCTAGACCCATAGACCATTTCTTAAGGCACTCCTGAACGTTTTAGCCTATCCACTTGAAAGGGATTTCTTTGCCAAAATACTGCTCAGTTTTCAGCATCATATGCCTGCTTATTCACTATCTCTTGCACAAATTAAATGCAATTTTCTCCCATCAAAGAAAGGTGAGGTTGCCTAGCCACTGACTGATGTGTCATTTTATAATGCTGTTTATTCCCTTACTTGTCCTGGTTTTCCAGGACACAGCTGCCATCATTTTTCATGGCTAGACTTTTTGCTTTTTGTAGTGCTGACTTTGTCATTTTTTAGACTGGCCTGTGTAAATTAACTTTGAGCTACAGAATGAAATAACATTATAAGCCCCCTCTTCATTTTTTTTCTTCTACTGATTTTCTTTCTCTCCAAATGATGATATAATTTACTGCCCATCTCTCAGTTGGCTTTTAACAGGTAAACAGCCTGCCAAGAGCAGGGCATGCATCATGTTTGAGCATTTATTTAACGATGCATACTATTCTTTGGTAATTACATTGCAATATCATTAAATACTCCATTGATGCTTGGCACTGTACAGACCCACAACCCTAGTTCTCATTTTCTGGTCAGAGTCTTTCACCTGAGAAGACATAGGCACAGGAGTAGCTGTGTTCATAAATCTTACTAAGTGTACACCCATTTATCCAGCAAGCTCCTTACATGCATAGAAACATGGAGTGGTGGGGGAAAAAAACCTGAGTTTATGTTGGGAATGTTTGTCCTTTGGTTGATAAACATATATACACCATATGAATTCATGTGCATATATATGTGTATGCGCTTACTTTTTCATATACACTCCAGTGTATACTTCATTCTTACATGCTGCATGTGTGTCTCAATTCCAGTTTGGAGGCAAGCTGGTTACGTTTGAGAATGCCAAGTCTCAACAGCAGCTAGGCATTGAGCAGCAGCAGCATCACCACGTCTATGTGAGCCAGGTTGTTACAGAGAAGGAATTCCTGGCCCGCTCGAACCAGCTGCAGGATGCTGTGCAGTCTGAAGGCTTTGTCAGCTACTGCCAGAAGAAAATCGACATGGCCCAAGCTGACTTTGAGAAAAGCGTGTGGGCCTTCTTAAAGGTAACAGGATGACAGCAGTTCAGGAGTTCCCCACTGAGCCAGAAAGCCAGTGCAGAAATGATTCCTTCTGCACATTATGGTGTTTTAGCAGAAGAGATGCTGGAAACCAGAAGGGTAGGCTGTGGGAATGGTGCCCATAAACCCTGTTGTTGGACGTGACCCACCAGATGAGAGAGGGTCCTCAGAGCAGCATTCATGTGAAATCATGGCAGAAGCCAAGGCCTGGGGGAAGGTATCCTGTGTCTTTGTCATCCCCCATCAGTACCTCTTTGTCCAGGGAGCTAATGGTAAGAAGGGATAAAGCTTTGGGGTAGTTTTAGAAGTGCTTTTCACTACTCACTATGAACACTTAGAGGTTTCGAAGTGAAGCAGATAAGCAAACTGTTGACCTGCAGTAACTGGATTGAAGTCTTGCCTACCTGCTCAGGTGCCCAGGTCACTGAAGACCTTTTCATTTCTCTTTTTATTACACTCAGTCTCCACGGTCACTAGCTCTCACTGGGTAATATGTGCCAGTCAAGTGAAAAGCCAGTGAGGGGGAAAATGAGAAATTGTGAATTGAAATATATTCTTTTTAACTTCTGTTTTTTAAAAGGTGAACTTTGAAGAAGATTCACGTGTTAAATACCTTGAGCTCTTGGGATACAAGAAAGATGATCTGAGGAAGAAGGTAAATGTGCCTTTAAGCTGCACTTGTGTTAAATGCTTTACTGATCAATATATGTGCAGAGTATAGCCTAAAATATTGACTGCGCCGTGTATGGTTGAAGTACTTATTTACCTGTGAGGCTTGAAGAACAATTGCCAGTATCCACAGGCTGTTCAATACAATAAACACTGTTATACAACATTACTTTCAGTGCGTTTCCCAGCAGATGGTATTTACTAGTGCTGCAGCTTTCCTAGTAGCCATGATACAGCTGCTACTCCTGGTGCCAGAGCCTCGTTTAAACATGGCTTACTTGAATATTTGTGTTAATTAAGGAATTCCGTTGTTCCAAAGGACACTAGAAATCTTCTGCTCTTTACATTTTGTCTAGATAAAAAACACTGAAGTAACTTCAGAATTCTTACAGCAAACAGTTGGTTTTGCTGGTCCTTTTTATTAGCTTTGTCATCTTGCAATATGGATGTTCAGTGAAAATTTAAAAGCAGGCAACAGACTTCAGAGGCATATCTACATCTGGCTGTCCAATGTTGACCTGCAATTCTTACCCATCAAGAAGCTTTCATATTTGTTGTTTCTACCTATTCATGTAACTTTGTTACATGACATCTTTCTACTGTAGTATCATGGAATCTGATCTGGTTTTAGGTTTTCTGTAAAGAAGAACATGGAAGTGGTCTTCAGGGTTTAACTAATTACCTTGAAAACAGAGAACAGTCTTTCTTTTGTGTGGGACACCATTCTTTAAAAAAAAACAACAAAACAAAACAAAAACAAAAAACCAACCAACCAAACAAAAAATGAAACTAAACACAAAGATTAAACCTGGTTACATTTGGAATGGCAAAATTTGGATTACCAGAAAGCCACTTAAGTATAGAATTTCCTTCCAAGTTGGAAGAAGATTCTTATCTTGGTGTTACAGGAGTATACCTACTGTGCATTTTGGCCCTTTGTTGCTTTTAATGTTGTACCCAATAGCTGTCTAGTATTTTTTCCGTTCCAATTCAGTGGATTTGAATGTTTGACTAATTTTCATTGTATCAAACTAATGCTTTATTTTCAAAGAGTTGTTCCAAAAAATATCATTATGGTTATGAATTAAATGGCCTCCTAGGGAAACTTAATATGATTACAGACAAAATCATGGTTTTGCTAATAGTCTGTCCTCAGCTTCTAAATTTTTGTCGCATGAGTCAAAGGCAAGCACTACAAGGGAAATGCTGTTTTTGAAAAGCAGATCACAGAAAATCCAGATGAGACTTAGTGGTGGTCTTGCAGAGTGGCCTCTTGCAGGCTAGAGCCCACTGGTGCTGTTGCTCTGGGGTTGATCTGCTCTGTGCATGGGGAGAAGTTGGTAAAAGAGGTGTAGCTGAACTGAGTTGCCTAAAATGCTGGGCCAAACCCATTATTTCAATATTTGAAGAACAATATTAATATTTCAATATTTGAGAGGAGCTTTGAGGCCGTGTTTTCACGTAGCTGTTTCTCAGCAAAGCATTCCATGCTGAAGTTGAATCCATGGTTTTTTAGTGTCAAGAAACAATACAGAATGGCTCATCTGAAAATTTGTGATACCCAGATGATATGCTTATGGTAGGATGAGAATTCAGCTTCTTGGAATAAGCTTTTAAGAATGTGGTGTTTTGTTTTTGTCTTCTTAAAACCTGTGATTCTCATATGCGAGACAAGTCCTGGATTTCTCCTTTCTATTGTAAACTAATGATTAAAAAAGGAAGAACAATCTCCAGCAATTTGAGCTGAGTTTAAGAAAACCGGCCTGCAAGGGTAAAATAAAATCTTCAAGACTAAAACCAGATGTTATTAGCAGCATTAGGAAATCCGGGCACCCAGATGCCAAAGTAGTATTTTCCCTATATATTCTGAACTCTCTATATTAAATTGTCGTTTTTGAGAGCCCTAATTCATTCTGAAGTCATGATTTGCTTTACAAAGCAGTAAAAGCTGGGCACTTCAACTCTTCCATAACTTGGAAAATCCTAGACCACAGCCCTATGCCTGCTGTGCTTGAAACCACAGCTTCCTGTCAGGTTCCCTGCTCCACCAGGATTGTCACCACTTCATTTTCCCTAATCAGAGCAGACAGAGCATTTTGTCCTGCATACTCTGATATTACTTTTATTACTGTGATTTTCAGCAGCTCTAGTGAGGTTTGAGACTCTTGATTTACCAATTAAAGATTTAAAGGCATAGAGCAGCTGTTGTTTCCATCAGAGCTTGGGGTACAGAGGGCTTAGCAGTAAAACCATCACCAAGCTGGGAAAGGAAATGGCTTTAGTTTCATGTTAACTGATCTGCAAACAACATATAAGCTACATTTGCCGACTTTGCAGTCTGAGAAATCAGTGAGAGGTCTGTCTCTAAAACAAAAGGGCACTTAACCAGTCTTGGTTGTTTTCTAGATTACATCCGCTCTAAATAAAGAGAGTCTTGCCGATGGCGACTTGGGAGAGGTAAGTAAACACACGTGTACAACTCTGCATTTAGTTTTGTAATGCTGTGGTAATGTGCAAAGTAAGAATAATTTTTCTTTCACTTGGTAGCTGTCTGAAAATAAGTCACAAATAACCCAGCATGTGACAAATGCCCACCTGCAGTAGGATGAAGGTACTAAAGATACTGAAGGTGCTAAAAAGCCTGTCCCTATCTTTCGTATAAGCCCCCTTTAAGTACTGAAAGGCTGCAAATAAGGTCTCCCCAGAGCCTTCTCTTTGGGCTAAACTACCCCAACTCTCTCAACCTTTCCTCATAAGAAGGGTGTCCTAGCCCTCAGATTATTGTTGTGGCCCTCCTCTGGACCCATTTCACAAAAGGTCAGTGTCTTTCCTGTACTGAGGACTTCAGAGCTGGATGCAAGAGCAGCACCTTTCCCAGGCTTTAAAAAAAGCAGGACTGAGAGTATGGTCCCATAACACTTCCCTGCAAGAGTGATAAATACAGTTCATGCACAGCCCATTAATTGCAGCGACCTAAGTCCACAACAAGGACTGCATTGTTCTTGTTCCTTACACATTTCACATACCATCTGTAGTTGCCTTGTGGGAAAGAAAAGTTTTGCTGCACATTTTGAGGCATGTAAGATGAAAACAGCAATAGGTACTGTGTAATGATGGAGAGAACGGAAATGGAGGGCCTCTGCCATATTTGTCATACTCCTATATTGCCAATGCACTTCTGTGCTTTGCAGTCTGGTTCTGGCTGTTGTTGGTGGGAAGGTGACTGTACCCTGCAGTGCAAAGTATTTCTTTTGTTGCTGTCTCTTCTTTTTTTTATTGCATTTTCTCTATGCTTAAGGCTCCTGCAGAATCTGATGAATCTGTGCCAAATGATGGGGATGAAGGCCAGGCTACAGAGGAGCGGTTCTTGGGAGAGGTATCTCTTGCCCTTTTAACGAACCCTGTTGATCTCCTGTGTATTTACTTTGTTGCTATTAACAGCGTTCCATTTTGTTGACTTTTCCTCACGCTGAGAACGTAAGGAAATAATGTGGGCTCTTGTTAAGTTGCTTGACTGTTTTTTTTCCTCATCAGCCTCAGTTGTCACATGAATCTTGTGGCAATGAGGAACAAGCTCCTTTTGTATCACTCCACTTGGCAGCAGACCCAAGGACTTTTCTTCTGCCACAGTATGCCACGCATACTAAATGATCTACTGCCACAACTAAAGCTTTCCACATATTTTTTCCCTCCCCTTCCTCATTCCTTTCTTCCTTCCTTCGGGTTGATTATCAAGCTGTCAGCTTATTACTACCCTGTTTCTACATATAACCCTTTGCAGAGATGCAGCTGTGATACTGGAGGCAAGGGGAAACATTCATTCCCTGCATCGCTCAAACTGGCATCACAATGACATCCATCACCCTTTGCACCTGAACAGTGAGCATCAGGGCTTTGGTATCTAGCTGCCGTAGGAAAATCTGTTGCAACAGTTCAGTCAGGTTTATCACAGGCAGTTTGTGCTCCACATCTGCCTTTGGGATCCTGCAGCTTTTGTTCATACCTGTCCATTTGAGCAGCGTTATTTTCAGCCTGTGTTTCAAATATGGAGACAGGTCTATAATTTGAATGAAGCCCAGCCTCTGCTATGTGAAGTTATTAGCACTGAAAATACAAGTATTGCTGTGTAAACAAGCCAGCTTCATTCTTCTCCATTCCTTAGTCTCCTTTTTTGGTTAAAATTTGAGCTGTAAGTCCAAAACTGCTTATGTTCCCTGTGCTAAAACCTGTGCTTGGTGCTTGTCTGCTGTTGTCTGTGAAGATGAGGATGGTGCTTTATGCATGTTGGAGTGGTGCACTTGTTGACTTCATATAGCAGCCTGTGTGCTGTCCTTAGGTTAGGTGCTTGATTGTTATTTCATTAGTTACTATAATGGCAGACACGTGTATCTGACTGCATAAGGATTTTGCTGTATGCAATTATGAAGATACTAGATGTCTCATAACAAGCGTGACTTCTAGGAGAGACTTCATAGCCAAACATGACCTTAGCCTCGCAGTAAATATTGGTGGTAAATACTTGTGAGATTGGTCTGAAGCCACCAATGATGAATCGGGGAGTGCTGTCACATATGTACGGTAACTGGATGGGCGCATCATTCTTGTGACAAGTTACAGTTCTCAGCTGATACAAAGCACACATCATGCATCATCTGACAGCAGAATAACTTTCCAGACACTGCCTCCTTTCATGAGGCTTGTTTCAACAAAGCTTGTTTTAGACTTATCTCCCTGTCCCAAATGCCTGTTCTTGGTTGAATGTGTACCTGTCCTTCATCCTCTGAAGAACAGTTTCACTGATCAATACATAAGCAGGGTGTTCTCAGCAGACTCTAGAGCTCTGACTGCATGTACTAATACACTGGCTTATGACGGAGGAGGCAGTTTGTGAGACAGTTTCTGCATTCTTCTTAGGCTGTGCTGTGAAAATGGATAGTGGAGAGAGATTTCCCTCGTGGTGGTGGTGGTATTATTATTACTGAAAAGTTTCATTTGAAATCCCAAAATCCAAGTGCTTGCAGGAAATGCTCTCTATCTTAGTTCCTGACAGAGTTTTATGAAAAAGCAGCTTCTGTCTGCTGAGCACGCATGTACTGAATGCAAAGTGCATAAGCCTATGTCCACATTCTGGACTTCTGTGTTGAAAATTAAGGACGTGTTCATGTGTTTTGTTTAATCAGACTAAAGTATATGCCTAGTGCTGAGTGTTTTGAGGATGAGCTGAAACCCTATGTGGATCAAAGTGAAACCTAGGTAGCATTATGGTGGATTGTTCTTGGTGGTAGTTGGAGGTAAAAGAGGAAGGAAGGGAAAAAGGTTTCTGATTTTTGGTTGCGGCTGTTGTTTTGCTTTGAGGGGGTTGTGGGTGCACCCTTTTGAGGGTGGTTGTGCATGGATGCACCTACGCAAGTCAGTATGCAGGATCCAGGTATCTAGTTGCTGGTATTTGTGATCTCTAGGTATGTGCACTTGTGCTTGCAATAAGCCTTCCCTGGTGGTTAGAAATCTGGAACTTCCAGAGCATTTTTCCCCTTGGTATCTATTTTAAAATTAGTTCACGCTGGTCTGTGAGAACAAGGATTTTATAATAGGGTGTTTACATGCACTGGAGGTTCTTTGTTAACCCCAGACTTTTCTCAGTGTGTTTAGGGGTTGGCTTTGTGCAGGCACCAGGGAAAGCTGATTATCCTGTGCTGAAGCAGTGTTCTAACAAATGACAGGGATGCTCTTCTGAGTTAATGATCTCTTAGGGGACTGTTAGTCTGAAGGTCTATCTTTAACTTCCAATGCAAGAACCGTGGTTTTTTTTTTTTATATGTGTGTGTATATTCCAACTGCTTACATAATCTCAAAAATTGTGCTTTTCCTTACTCTTAGAGGGTGAAGGACCATAAACAAGAAACTGAAGATTTGGGATCTGCAAAGAAGATGTTTAACATCTCTGTTACTGGAGGTAAAAAAAAAAAAAGCTTGCTATTCATTTCATTGTATGTGCTGATATTTATAAATACTGATGTTGATACTCATGGTCCGGTGATTTCTGCACAGATCATGGAGGATTATCATGACTTGCCTTTGTAACTCCCATCCATTGCACACCAGTCTTAAGGCCCTTGAAAATACACCTTCTGTAGGAAAGAAAGGGAAGTATACAGCACTTTTATACCCAAACGCTGAAATGCAGCTACTCTGAGTGATTTTTGATATAAAAGAATACACACCTGATCTGTCATGAAATGCCAACCTCGCAGTTTGTACAGAATCTTCCATGGGATCTTGAGCACCACAGAAGCTGTTGACCCCTGTCTAGGTTTTACTTTTTCTGGCACTGTGTACAGGATAGTTGTTTCAGAGCTCATTTAGAAAGATGCTGCCTATGATATATATACCAGCATCTTGCTCTGCAGCAAGGTAAGTGATGCTTGACAGTGCCCCCACCTGATCTGTCTGTGACCATAGTGTATTTTGAAACTGGAGATGAACTTGAGCATCCGTGTACCTGCCTGGAGCAGGCTGGTTTGCAGAGAAGTTTGTGCAGTGTTGGACAGAATCACCTGCTGTTGCATATTTAAATAATTCTTGTGACATCACTTGAAAATGCACTCCTCTCTCATTGCAGATGTGGACGGTTTGATTACCCAGGCTTTGCTGACTGGTAACTTTGAGAGTGCAGTAGATCTCTGCTTGCACGATAACCGCATGGCTGATGCCATTATCTTGGCCATCGCAGGTGGACAAGAGCTGCTTTCTAGGACACAGGAAAAGTATTTTGCGAAGATGCAGAGCAAAATTACTAGGGTATGTTTTCTCAGTTAAGAAACAACCTGCATGAACACCTTTGAGAACTCGGTTTTTTACCTTATACGTTTTCTTGCCATTTTTTATGTTTATTTCTGTGAGAAGCTAATAGGTATTAAAGTCATCCACAAGATCTCAGAGCAGAAGGATTTCTATTATTCCTTTTTAATGCATTGGTAAGGAGAGAAGAGGCACACTACCTGGATATTAATACAGAAGAAGAGTAGTCTTTACATTGTTTCCAATGTGTCTGAGTTGCATGTATACTGGTTGATTCTCACTGATAGATAAATATCTTAAGCAGTCCGCATTTCAGTCTCTTGTCCCATTTTTCAAGAATCACACAGGACCCATGCTTAGTGCCAGTAGTGTTATGTTAATTTCTGCCTGTTAATCAGTCTTAACAGATTTTGCTGATGCTTTGTTTCACTGCATGCATGGAAGAGAGCTAAGTATGCCCAGGGTAAATCAATCACTCTTTGTCTAGGAGACAGCATCTTATGGCCAGCTGGTTATTACTCTTTTCAACTTAAGTGCTTTCCTGAAGTGAGGCTGAAGGCTGCAAAGCACAAGTCACTTGGAGAGTTAGGCCGTACAGCTCCACAGGCTAGAGTCTGTAAGCAGAATTCTTCTTGTCATCGCCTGCAGTCCAGTTTGAGATAGTAACAACCTGCGTCTGTAGTAGTAGACAAGTGAAAAGAGGAAAATCTTAAGTATTAAGACTGCAGGATTTCTTTCCCTGCCCCCAGCTCCTTTCCTGCCTCTGGCCTAATCATAGGAAAGAAAATTTTATAGTGCTTGGGAAATACCTTCTTCAGTGCAGTTCGTACTTTGGGAAAAGGTATTTTTGTGGAGAGCTGACCAGCTATCTGTGCCTGTGCTAAAGAGAGAGTGGTGGCCTTGTAGTTGGGACCTTGCATTTGTTGTTCAAGTATATTGGGTTTGGTTTTTTTCACTTCTGGTTCCAAGCTGCCCGCTTAATGCTTGTTCAGCTGCTTCTGAGCTTGAAGTCTTGGCATGACAAGGGCTTTGTTCACTCAGTAGCAGCACAGCTGCCAAGTCTCTTTGTTCTGAAGCAGAATAACCAGAGGCAGAGTTTGAGATGGAAGAAACTGAATTTTGTTTTGAGGGCTTATGGACAGGCAGCCTCTGTGTGTGGGTACAGAGTAGGGATGCAGCAACCATCTCAGGTTGATGTAGCTGCCGGCTTGCTTCTTTGAGCAGCCTTTTCAACTGCCCCTCACTGGTCTGTCTCTGAGGCCAGGAGCTTAAAGCCAAGTGAAACAGTTTGCCAAACAAAATTCATACCCCTTGCTAGGCATTGTGTAGAAGATGTAAGTATTTGGTATGTTAACTTTACCTGCAAAAACAGAGCTGAAAACCATCTGCAGTAATCCCAGTTTGCAGAGATTTGTGCATTCTTTTCTTGCACATCTTATAGCAAGAATTATTGGCCTGTCTGTGCTATCTGAGCTTGTTTTGTGATTTTTCACTGAACTCCTTTGAAGTAAAATGTACTCTTGTGCAGCTTATGAATTGCAGTGCAGTATCTGCTGTGACCCTGGATATACTGGGAATGAGTACTCTTGAACAGATGCAAATTATACTGTGTCCTAAAAAAGAAAGGAAATTTTACCAGGATCTTAACTGTGGCCTTGTTCCTTCTGGTCTAGCTCATCACTGCGGTGGTAATGAAGAACTGGAAGGAGATTGTGCAATCTTGTGATCTGCAGAATTGGAGAGAGGCTTTGGCTTCTGTGCTCACTTACGCCAGGCCAGATGAGTTTGCAGCCCTTTGCGGTAAGGACACTTTACAGATTGTAATTTATTCCACTTACAGCAAAACTACACTTTGCCATGGCTATCTTCCTTCCAGTAAATTACTGTAATGCCTCTTTGGTGGATAGTTTAGTTCTTCCATCTTGTTACAGAGGAGGAGAGGAACCTCTGGGGTGCTGTGTTCCCAGTATGTTCCCTGATTTTCTGGGCACAGGGGGACCTTTGTGAGCAGCTGTGTCCTGGCATCACCTGTGTTGTGCACAGCTGCTGATCTCTTATGGTTTCCAGATGGGTAACAGTGATATTGGCGTGACAGGGACCAGTCTCTTGGGGTATTTGTGCATGGGATGCAAGTGGAAATGTTTCAGGGAAGCACTTCGTTCTGCTTTCCCAAGAGCAATTTTGGCTTCTTGGAAGAAGTCCCCTTTCGAGGGCAGTGAACATGCCTGCCCTCAAGTGCTGCATAGGGAAGTTTTACTGCCAGTAGCTGTGTGTCTGACCACCCCTGTGCCCCTCAAACACCATCCACTCTGTCTACGGAGCTATACAGGCTCATTTTGACACGCATCTGCCCAGAGCAGTATCATAGCTTTGTTGCTTGTGGTTCCTTGGCTGATTGCACACTCAGGTTGTGCTCCTGAAATGAGGGACTGCAAAAAGTGCATGGCAGAGAGGAGAATAGAGCCCTGGCCTCTTGTTCTTTATCATGCCAGCAGACGGACAGACCCCCTCTGACACGTCTCAGGTTTGCAGACATTTGACAAGTCCCTGCTGCCATAGCATTAGCTGGCTCTGAAGTGCCCTGGGCTCCCATGAGAGAATCTGTGATTGACACCGCAGTATGTCACCAATGGAGCCCAGAGGCAATATTTCTTACTGTGCTGAGCAGAGACACAACAGGCGTTGCTGGCTTCCCTGGCCTTGGCAGTGATGGAGGAATCTCTGAAGTGATTCAGCAGCAGCATCTTTGTTTGTATTTTTCCCAGATCTCCTGGGTAACAGACTGGAGACTGAAGGGGACAGTCTTCTGCAGACGCAGGCTTGTCTCTGTTACATTTGTGCTGGCAACGTGGAAAAACTTGTTGCTTGTTGGACCAAAGCTCAGAATGGAAACAGCCCCTTGTACCTTCAGGTTGGTAATTCTATTAAGAAATATGTTAGAAGTAACACACTGCAGTAATTTGGCTCTTTAATCGAATGATCTAATGTAGAGCTTTGATGCTGTCTGATAGCTACATGTATCTCAGGATACAAGACTTTTCCTTCTGGAATGGGTGGCTTTCATAGAAATAACACATAAATATGATATTGGAAAATGTGTTGTGAAGCATGATGGCCCTAGTGTCTGCTCTGTTCTTTAGGTAGTTCTGCTAGTATGCTTCCAGTTGAAACAGTAGTTGTGGGGGCTTAGTGTGTTTTGGTAAAGAAGGGGCTTCAAATTCTTGTATCTTTTGCAATAGGGGAATGCTTAGACATTTTTGCTTTTAGAAGAGATGTCTTGGATGTTCAGGGGAAGAAATTTAATAAATTAGAGTTACATCTGGAGAGAAAACTGTAAGAAGAGTTTTCTCTAGGGGTTTGCACGTACAGGGTTTGATTTCCAGCAGTGAAATACATTGTATCTTGGAGGAATAGGAGGATTGATGGCAGTGAGATGAAGCAATAGTTGAATAATTTATTTTATAGTATAATTTTAGTTTCTTCCATCTGTTCAGTGTCTTTGAAGAACCAGGTTTAGAAAGTACTTAAAGTAATGTTACCTGATGGTTCTGTGAGTCTCTGTTTAGTTAATTGAAGGAACTGGAGTATATGTGAGTTTTACATCACAATATTATCTCTCTCCAGGTTTGAATTATCAAAATTACTTTTCAGTCTCTTGATTACAGTGACTTTGTTATGGATTTACCTTCATTTTGATTGCATTGCTTTGCTCTCTCTGACATCAAAATTGAAAAATACTGTCAGTGTCATAATTAGGCTGCTTGTTTAATATCATGTGGAGTTGCTGAAACTTGTAGAAGCTGTTGGTTATTGTGATTTCTTTTCTTTGTTTTTTGTTGTTTTTTTAACTTGCCTTTTGTGAAGTACTGATTTGTTGGGAAAAACACAAATGTATTATTGAACAGACAGTGAACAGTCCTTATTAGTGATGTATGGTTGAAATCCTGTGTGTGGTACTCTCTCATTAAATCTGTTATGAGGCTTAAAGAGGGATTACGTGTTAATATTGGCAAGTTGATATCTGCAGTAGCTTCCAATATAATAGCATGAGAATAAGAAAAACATGAGAAAGCTGACCAGAAAATGTTCCCATAACTTAGCCACAGAAGGAAACCCAGTCAAGACCAGCTCTGGTATTTGGGAGCAGCCCTTCAGAACAGTTGTTAGCCAGGGCCTACTCCACCCCCTTGTTCTCACTTGTAGTTATTTTTTTCCTGATCTTCCAGGATTTGATAGAGAAGGTTGTGATCCTGCGCAAAGCCGTGCAGCTCACCCAGGCTGTGGACCCTAATGCTGTTGGGGCGCTTTTGGCTGAGAAGATGAGCCAGTACGCGAACCTCCTGGCTGCCCAGGGCAGCATTTCTGCGGCTTTGACCTTCCTCCCTGTGAACACCAACCAGGTATGGGACCTTCAGGTTTTTTTACTTCCTCTCTCTGTGTGAGCAGGTACACTTTGAGCAAAGATCTCTGCATGGTGCAGTTAGCCAGCAGGACTACCATTTGAATTGTACCTTGAGATGCGATGGTCAGACTGTTTCTCCTCTTCCTGCATTGGCCTCACTGAGCTGACAGAAGTACATGTCCTTGTTCTTCCTCTTTGTTTCACAGCCTTGTCCTTGCATCTAGTGGCCACCAAAAGAGCAGCTGTCCCTGCTGCAAGCCAGACAGTGAAACATGTACCTTGGCACTTGGTTGGTGGTTTTCTTTTGATTTTTTTTTTTTATCTTCCATCAGCTGTCACTCATAGGCAGGCTGGCTTGGGAATGATGCAGGTACACATAAGGCAGTCCCAGTGGCCTCATGTCTTGTGCATAAAAGTCTTATTCCGATCAAACATAGCAGAGCAGGCTTCCAAGAGATAACTCATCAGTGTGTGACCAGTCCGCCTCTTGGCAGGCAGTGCAGTTAACATTTCTTTGCTGTTCTTTTGTGCTTGCAGCCAAACATCATGATGTTACGGGACAGGCTTTCCAGAGCCCAAGGGGAGCTCCCAGGGGGGCAGGAGTCCCTCAAGGCACCATATGAGAGACAGCCCATGCCCAAAGGACAAGCTGGCCCTGTGGCTGGACAGATGCAAGGCCCCCAGGCTCCAGGCCAGCAGTTTTACCAACAGGTAAATGGTTTTTAGCAGTGAGAGAGGAACATGTTTGCGTTCTGGAGAGCAATGGATAGAGGATTTTTTTTTCTTTCTCGTGATCTGAGCTGAGGCTATGACACCTCCACAGAGAGCCCTGTGATGAAAATCACTGGTGCTGCTTTTCAGTAAGTACAGATGCCTTCTTTATTCCTCATCTGGAAACATCCCTTAAACACCTTGTCAGATAGCTTGTTTCTGAAAGTTAGGTGTTTTCCCCTTTTGACTGAAAATGCCAGTCCTTCAGAGCCAAGAAGGACTGTGAGAGCATGCTGCAGGATTTTTCTGTGCTTGCTCTCATAGTCCCAAATGTCTTCCCATCTCTGCAAGCCTTGGGGTTTGCTCATGCTGCTTACCAGCCTTTTCTGGGGCTGATTATTTTCCCCCACAGCTCTCATGTTGGTTGCAGAAGTTGCTGAGCAGCAGCAATAGCAAACTGCGGGCATGTTTTGGCAGTTGAGAAGACAGCCTGCTGTGAACCACCTCCCAGCCACTGAGGGGGCTTAGGCAGCATGGGCAGGGGATGGGACAGGAGCAGGGAGGCAGGCATAGGCTGGGAGTGAGCTGTGCCAGGAGAAAGACTGGGTGGAGTACAGGACTAATAAGAGAGATGAGGGCTGTGCAGAGAGGGAGAGGAGAAATGGGAGAGGCAAATGCCCTGCTATTATCTCCAGATTAAAAGCAACACTCTGTCAGAATGATGGCCATCACCAGAGTGTGGTGTGCTTGGCAGCCTTGGCTGTGTGCTTACTTAAAGAGCATCACCAAGTCCCTGATCCCTCTGCACAGTGCTGGAGCTCAGCTGGACTCACTGTACGCAGGGACTCTGGGCTAGGCTTTTCTGAGAGCGGAGCTGTGTTAGTGCTGCTGATGTTCTCCTTACACAGAGGAGATGGGCACAGGCAGAGGCATGCCTCTGTCAGTGCTGCCCTTCAGGCACTGCCTGCCAGAAAAATGGGGGCAGGAAGCAAAAAGAGCTGAGAAGAGGGGGGAAGTCGGGCTTTATTCTCACCCTCTTGATATCAGTGTCTCTGCATGCCTTCACCTTCTCTCCAGGGTGTTAACAAGGCAGATTTTAGAAGGGGCAAGGCCTTCATCCCATTGTGTATGACTTTAAATGCATCGTTGCCAATAATTAACACTGCTATTCTTTCCTGTGTCTTTTACCTTCCTCCTTCTAACCAATGAATTGCCTTGAGAAGCAATGCTGCTGTTTCCCTTTGGCTGTGGAAAATAGCAGCTGTCCTCTAGATGGCGACATCTTAGCAATGCCTTTTAAGCCACAGTTCCCTCTTTGTCCTACTGTTTCAGGAATACTTAAAGCAATTATTTGAGCAAGCCCTGTACATGATTAAAAGGCCCCACAACCCCATGAGCACACTGTGATTGAGTTATCCCTGTGCTCTTGGATCTCCAGGGAGCTAATGCTCAGCAAAAAGGGCTTGAAGCAGACAAGTGCCATGTCAGAAAGGTGCCCAGTGGTATGCTGATGAACCAGAGTGGGAAGAAATGACATACTGGGTACTGGGATACTTGTTTTACTTTTAAGAAAGTGTGTACAGAGGCTTATTCAAGTTTGAGGTAGCCTTTCTTTAATTGCTGTCCCAAACAGAAATATGTATTTAAAACTTGGTTTCCTTTCAGCATATGTTTTTGAACCTTGTTTTTCATCTGAAAAAAAAAAGTTTGAAAGAGGATGGAAAATTCTTTTAGATTACTCCAGTGATGAGTAATGCAGTCATTAATAGCAGTCATACAGCTGAATGCACCATGAGCCCAGCACTGCACAGGGTTGGAGACTGACAGACTGAAGCCAGCTGAGCCAGCCAAGACCTCAGGGTTGTAGCATTGCCTCTGCCTGCACTCAGGTGGGGTATCAGGCTCCTGACCTCAGCTGTGCGTCCCACTGCTGGGCAGCACTCCTCCTTGCTAAGGAGTGTCTCAGGCAAAGGAGGTTCTCTCTTTCTGCCCTGTCAGGAAGGCAGTAGTGGCTGTATGGAGCTGAAGGGCTTTGGAGTGGCAAAGAAGGAAAATAGAGGAAAGGATCTCTGGGAGACTAGCTGGGAAGCAGTTAGCATTAAGATGTGTGTTTGTGCATGTACAAGAGCTGAATATCAGATTTAAACATTTTTAATTCACCTTAAGTGTGATTTAAACAAACTGCTTTTGTGTGAGGCAGTATATTTGAATTTAACATGGAACTTGGGACTTCCGGCTGTTGTTAGTGATGCTCGGTGTCATGCCTGGGGAGAGCTTCTGCAAGAGGAAATTGTGATGAAAAAAGCTTTGTAATAGTACTGTTGTTGCAAACTTGTCTCACTGGCATGTGTAACACTGCACTCACTCCACAGCCTGTTGTAGCTGCCTCTCCATTGTGCTTCATCTTCACTCCGCGGTTTGCTTCGGCTCCAGAGCACAGTGATTTGTCTGTCCTGAGTGCAATTTTCCTTCTTCCTCTGTGATTTTATGGCTGTGTTACAAGTGCCAGCATGCAAACCATTTTGTGTTCACTTCTTTGCATCTCGTTTTGTACAGCCCTTCAGACTTTATTGTTTTGTTTTCCATGATTGGTATTTCTTTGTTCGATTCAGGTTAGAATTGCCCCTACTGTCACTACCTGGAGTAACAAAACTCCTACTGCCCTTCCCAGCCATCCTCCTGCAGGCTGTCCCTCTGACACACAGGTATAACCTTCATTATTCCTCTCTGAGCCTCTGCTCTACCCTGATACGTCCCCCAGCACAGTCTCGGTGCTTGACAGTCTGGTACAGATAGGTGGAAGGAGCAGCTTCCACATGTGCTCTGGCTGTGCTCCTGTGTCTCATGTTACACTTAATTCACCAATGCCCAGATGGATGACGCTGGAAAGCCTTAAGTGGGAGCTTAGTATGACCCGAGGTCCCCTAGCCTAGCCCTTGCTCCACACTGGTATATTTGTACTGTGATAGTTTTCCTTTCCCTATTTCCTGTGGAAATTGGAAGCTTCAGAGTTAACATTTAAGTTGTGTAGTTGAAAGCTGTGGATGGCAGGGCACTCTCAGACTGCCTGAGTAACAGGCAGTGCTGTCAAGGACCTCTTTCTTGTGCCAGGAAAGTATATGCTGCGCTGCTGCTGCTGAAGTCACTGTACATACAGGCTATGCTTTCAGTGTCACGCTGGGAGCCCTGAGGCACTGAAGTGGTTGGAGGCATTTGCCCCTGTGCTGGTGGGTCTTCCAGGGAATGTGGTTTCAGGCCTTGAAATGTGAACTGACTGTTTTGTTATAATTCCGCTTCACTGTTGCGTTACCGTTGCTGACTAAATCCTATCTCCCCCTACCCTTTTTCCTGCAATCTTTTCTCACAGGGTGACAACCCACCTCCTCCAGGGTTTATCATGCCAGGTGCTGTTAACCCCAACATGCCACCGCCGCAAGCCTCATCTTCCAATTACAGCATGTACTCTCAAGCAGGGCCTCGGCCAACGTACCCACAGAGTGAGTAGCAGCAGCTCCCCTTTCCCTCCCACCCAGGTGGGCCAGCCAGGTGATGAGGCTGCATTAACTTGGGGATAGCGAGTCCCCTTCTTGGGGCTGGTAGAACTCAGACCAAGCCAGTCCCACATTTCTTAGGGGAAAAAATACTTCTAAGATGACATCTGAGTATTGTCATTTCTTGGTGGAGTCAAAACATCAGGCAGCCTCTGTCAGACACTGTCTCTTCTACTGAGAAGGTGTCTGCCAACAGGTCTTAAACTTGCTCTTCAGCTGGCCCTTCCCAAGGGTGTGTCAGGGTCAGAAACCCCCCAGTGTGAGTCCTGGAGAAGCTGCATGGGCCTGGCAAAGAGGGACCCAACTCATCTGTATGCAGCTGGGCCAATCCAGTCTTCATTTGGACTCTGTCAAGATGGGAAAAGGGATGAGGAGGAGACAAGGGACAAGGGCAGTGGTAGAGCAGGGAAAGGGACAGAGCACTGACACACTCAAAGCAGGGGACTGGAAAAAATGGGCACAGATGGGCAGAGAAGAGGCAGTGAAGTTAAGCTGCAAAGCCCACAGTGAAAGGGTGTGAGGTTGCATTGACTTCCAGAGACTGCCATTCGTTTCCTTGGCCTAGGCCAAGGAAGTCTTTTGCTTTGTGCAAACTTGAGGCAGAGGTTTCCCTTCCTTGAGAGAGAGGCACCATGAGGATTGCGATGGTCCAGAAAACAGCCAGACCAGCAGTGTCTGTTCCCCCAGCCCCACTCTGAGTGGCCATGGTGGCTCTGAAGAGAAGAGTGGGAGTCCTTGCAGCCAAGACAGTCCTTTATCTGGCTCCCCACTGCCAGTGGCAGGCTGAGGTTTTGAGCAGTCCTGTATGTGCAGGCAGAGTTGCGGAAGCCGGGATTTGGCTGGGCAGGTAAGTGGTTTGAGAGGGAAGGGGCAGAGAGAGAGGAGGGACAGGTGGAGAAGGAAGCAGTGGCAAATGAAACCTGTTCCTCTGTTACGAACTCACTGACTGAATCTCTTTTCTCCCTGTTTGTAGCATATCAGGCCACACAGCAGTACTCTTGTGGAACAGGGGGACCAGCTCTCTATCAGCCTCAGCAGCCTATTGCTGTCCTTGCTTCAGCCTCTTACCCAAACCCTGCCCCTAACACCACCTCTCCCTACCTACCCTCTGCCCCTGCCCACTCCATGCCCTCCCCACTGTACCCCGGGCAGCCTCAACCCTCCCCAACAAGCCTGAATCCCACCTCTTCCTTACCTCTTCCTCCTTCTGGCGCATCCTTTCCGCATGGCAGGCCAGGACTTCCAGCAACTTCCGTGGCTTATGCATTACCTACTGGACCAACAGGTACTCTGCCTGCAACCAGTGACCTTCCTGCATCCCAGAGAACAGGTCTGCGCTTGGACGGGGGGGCAGGCAGGGAGGGGAGGGGTTTGCTTTATTACTCACTCAGTTAAACATGCACCTTTTCCTTATGAACACCTATACGAAGTTTGCTTGTGCTTAGAGGTCAATTCAAAGCATTTCTAAAACACATCATCTTCCTATGCATCCAGCGATGATAGAGCCGTGTTGCTGCTTTAAGCATTCAAGTGTGAGTGGTTGTTTCTCTCTTGCAAATCAGACCTTGCCACAAACACAAAGCTTTTGTCCTGCCCAGGACACAGTGTTACAGCATCATCCTGTTATGAGGCTGTCATATGGCTGTGGATGGATGGTGGCACAGTTTTAACCTTGTGAGGCTGGCACCAAAACCTGCTATGTGGCTGGAGAGCAAAATACAAAAATGAGCAAGTTAGCCTAATTGCTGCAGAGAAGATGATCCCAATTCTCCTTGTGGAGCAATTCTGCAAATGTAATTTGTCACTGTGTCCCTGGTTTATGAGTGGTATTTCAAGCCCAGGATTGGCAGCATGTTTAATTTGAGCAGCATTTCCTAAGGCATCACCTCCCTTCCATTATTTTTCCCTAACCACTTTGTACAATGGGATTTACTGTAGTTGTGAATGCCTTAAAAGATCATCAGATGTGGTTCAGAAATGCTTTTATGTCTCTCTTTCCTGAATGTTAATCAAAAGCATGTGTGTGTGGCTGACAGATAAGAGCATGTTTGAGCAAGCATGGTGAGCAAGCATGGTGAGAAAGCATGCACTGAGATGTAAGCCCATTGTCTCCTTGTGACTGCATGAATGTAACTTTGCTGTTGGACAGTGACCTTATTTGTGATAACAAACCTGTCTCTTCACTTAGCCTGTGAAACAACAGCTTTGCATATATCAGGCTGTGGAGGAAGTATGAGCAGTCCTTTTCTCAATCTGGCCATAAACATACTTCACATACAGGTGGTCCAGCTGGAGAGTCAAGGACCAGCAGGAAGCGGCGGGAATATTAGGCAGGATTTGAGGGATGTTCCAGGGGTGCTGACTCTGCTGATAGGCCATAAAGACCCCACTGTGACTCCCTCTTTTCTTTGAAAAGTCTGTTCCGGGTGATGCAGTGCAGAAAAGGCATATTGCCTTTGTCTTGGCAGCAGCGTTTCTATGAGTAGGTACTCCTGGTGTCTGTGAGCCTAGTAGCCCATTCTTGTGTCATTGTCTTCACACAAACATTCATGTGTTTGGGGAAAAAAAAATGGTCTTTTGCTCTGTCAAAAAAGTAGAGATAACTTGTGTTGTGCAGCTTCCAGGGCTGCAAGGGGGTAAGAGACCTTTTTACCTGCATCCTGCAGCCAGACTCAGTGTCCTCTCTGTTCTTGGAGATTCTGTGCTGTGACCTCTCCTGACCCCATGTAACAGGGCGTGTCAAACTTGTATCTTTAAGCCAGAGAAACTTAAACTGGGCAGAGGGAGAGGGTTCTGGGCCTGGGATGTGAAGCAGCACATTATAACACAGCATAGCTTCTACATGTCCAAATAAATGCAAGGAGCAAGAAAACTGTTCTTTCTTACCCATTTTACTACTGCACTTGCATCACTGGCAGGCTCTTGTGGAACCCAAACATGGGCATCATCTCTGATTCCTAGCAAATGCCAGCCTTGGGCTGAGATGGAGGGAATGGGCTTCAGGGCACGGCAAGAGGTGTTGAGGCCAGGTGGCTCATGGCTGCTGGCACACAACTGCTGTCTGCGGCTGGAGAGCTATGGAAAAAAATACAGAGGTATCCAAAGAGCACACTCTGTCCTCTTCCAGTTTTTAGATTGCACCTTTCAAAAAACGTATCAACAAGAAAGAAAAAAAACTTGCTCTGTAAATGCAGAAGTGAAAGTGTACATGCTTAATATGCTTAACCACCAATATGTTATCCAGGGTAGCTGTATTGCTTAGTGAAGGGCACCTTGGCATAAGATCCCACAGGATTACAAAAATCTGCAGCCAGAAGTAGATCTCATCTGTAATTCTGAATGTTCTGGTGCAGAGCATGTAGCAATGCTTATCTTGGCTTTGAAGTTGTGTGCTTTTGTGTGTGATGATGATCTAGTCTGGGAATACCATGTTTCACTTTGCAAATGTGATTCATTAGAAGGCAGGGGTAAGGAAAGAAGGAAAAAAGGCCTCAAATTTGAAGTCTTGAAAAGCAGCTGGCCTTTGAACTGGCTTGGATTTAAAGATGTACTTAAAAAAGGAGCAGTTCTATAAATATCTTCTGATTTTTGCAAATGCACATACCATCAGTACATTTTGCCATTTTTGGAGCTCCAGTAAGCAAGAAAGCCCACATCTAATTTCATTTTCAACCTATCTCGCTTTGTGTTGCAATAGATCTTTGAACCTGCTTCCAAGGGAGTTTTAATTTTCAGAGTCTTGAATCTTGTTTGAAATTCTGATAGAGCAATTCTGAGCTAAGGGAAGGGTTTGCACCAAAACGATAAAGGCATCAGATTAACCCTAGGGACAGGAGTTATCTCATCCCTAGCGTTCCTCTTCTCTTTGAAATGTCAAAGGCTATTTGGGCTGTATTTTCCTATTTGGATTTATTGTTGAATCTGATCAGGCAATGAGTCTTTACATGAGTGTTAAAGCTCCTATGTGAGCATGGCTGGGATTTTCTGCTGTGCTGGATGCAGTCGAGGGAGCGCCTTGATTTGGGAGAATACTTTGTCCACCTTGAAGTCAAGTAATTTCAGCATCTCCTAAAAAGCTTTTTGAAATGGTAAAGTGATGGTGAGAAGATTGTTGCTGTGAGTAATGATCTGTCCATTGCGCTGACTGGTAGGAATAGGAAATGAGAACGCTGAAAGAGATAAGAAAGTGGGCCAGGACTCTGCAACATTTGTTAACAACTAGAAACAAATCAACTAGAAACCAAAATTTACTGCATGGGAAGAGCAACAGGCCTGTTTTTGGGGAAGGCAGATAAGAGGGTGATTTGAACAAATGACTTCTCTAAATTGTAATTGTAATTAGGTTTGACCTTTTTTTCTCATTACTTTTTGTGCTTACTGAAACTAAACTGCTAATCAAAAATTAGAGTGTTTTATTATTTTCAAAGAAAAATGTATGTTTTTAGTTCTCTTTGCATTTTTATCTGCAGAAAGCCTACCAACTCAAGACCAGGCCTCTTCTTTGGCAGGTGAACTAGGTACCACCTAACCTGAAAATAATTACAGCCACTACATGACATTAATTGAACAGTCATCAATAATGCATATGTTCCTCAGAGAACATCAAGTGTGATGCTGTTTGCCAATTACACTTTAATCAAATCAATTTTTAATTCTTTAATTAAAACCAATAACAACATATTTGGAGTTTTTAATCACAGAAACAAATGCTGCTTTAAGCAAATTATTCCAGGAAATGAACAGCAGTTAATTTTCTTGGTGTGGGAGATTTTCTTAGTGTGTTGCCACTATCAGTGCTGCAGAAGTGAACTTCCTCTATCAGAAACACTCTGGGAAGGGATTTGCTGGATGAGGAGCAGAGGAGCCCCTGGGGCACATGGCTGTTGAGAATGGCACTTCCTTTGGTTAAAAAGAAATCAGAAGTAAAAAGGGGTTTAAAATTGTTTTTAATTTACCCCTTTACCATTCTCTGGATGTGGAACTTCTTTAACAAAAGCTCAGGAACAAATGAAATTTCAGATAAATTGAGCAAATTCTGCAGTGATGTTAAACTCTGGTGTCTAAGGTGAATTCATCATCTGCTAAGTGAAAAACACTGGTGAAAAAGTCCATTGAGCAGGGATTTGGTTTTGCTGGCTTTTTGTGGCATTGCGCAATAAATCCTGATTACTCGGTGAGGCCACGGTAATAGCGAGATATAATGCTGTGGTCCCAATTACACACGCTCTGTGATGAGATGGGAACCATTTCTAATGCACACATGTGAGCTTTGGTATACAAATCTTCCAGCTGCACAGAGCGTTCTTTCTTGGAGGAGCAGAAGGTTTGGTACAGAACAGCATCCCAGAACTGGAGTGAATCTGCTCAGATATCGTCCCTGCTGCTTCCAGTTTCAAACAAATTGTCCTTGGTGCAGAAAGCTTGATTTGCCACTCTGCTCCAGAAACTCTGCTCTACTTCGGGGCACAAAGCACCCATAAACTTGCTGTCGCTGGCAGAGGAAGCCTGAGTTTATGGCTCCTTTGTGTCTCCATGGTGGCTGGGTAAATCTGGGCTGAAATGTTTAAGGCTCCTGTTGTCTCTTATGCCTCTTCTTTCTGTGTTGTGTTGCTGGGCAACTGTCATGTATAAATCCATCACAGTACACAATCACAGCAGCGCCTCTCGGGAGGTGGATGCAGCTTGGTGGTGTTCTTATTCACCCTTGATTTCTGACATCTCTGCTGCTGATTGATGTTTGTAATAATGTTACAGTGATCATGGGAAAAAAGTTCAAAACGGTTCTCATTTCTTCTGATGTGAAAGGGGTGGAAGAAACCTTCACCAGTAACTGTGGAGCTGCCTTAACACATGGAGTCTGTAGCAGAGCAGTGTTTTGGGCATGGTGGGCAACTGCCTGCCTTTTCAAAAGGCGTGTCTGAGTTTTTCTCCTGCAAGAGAAAAAGTTAATTATTAAAAAATAAAATACAATAAAAGGAGGAATTGGCTTTTGTCAAACTTGAGAACAGTTGGTTGAGAAGCCAAAGCTGTGCAGTAGATGCAGAGCCCAAAGGGTTGGGTGGCTGGGGTGTTGGGAGGCTCTGGCTGGCACAGAAGCTGTTCTGGCCCCAGTGAAGGGCAGAGGAGCAGGCAGGCAAGGGCGGGCTTTACCAAGTCCCTGTGGGTAGAGCTGTGATGGGAGCTGGCCCAGCTGAGCTCAAGAAGGTGCCCCTGCCCTCCTCCAAGGTACTTAAAGTCTCTGTTTTCCTTTCTGTCCCAGGGCCTCAGAATGGCTGGAACGACCCTCCTGCCCTGAACAGAGCTGCCAAGAAGAAGAAGGTACTCAAGGAAATCCTGTCTCGACACAATTGAGTGCTGACCACTTGAAAAGCAGTAACTTAAGCTGCTCCTGAGGAAACTTGTTGGCAGGAGAAGTAGCAAGAAGGGTTAGCAGGAAACAAAAACTACACCTTGTGAGCAGAAATGGCCTTTGTGCCTCTCTAGTATGCATTATCTCTCTCAAAATGTTAAAGCCTCTAAAGAGATGGTGGCTTTTTGCTAAAGTTGTGGTTGTTAATAACATTGATCCTGGTTTGAGGGAAGAAAATACCTTGGACTATTTTCATCTGAAGTAAAGCAGATGAGTTTGGCAGAAGATGATTCTTATGCAAAAAGATGAGGCCGTGCAAATTGTTATAGATTACTGACTTTCCTGAAGCTGAAGGCAATTTATCCTGATTAAGGATCTGACCCTGAGAGATCTGCTGAGAGTAAGACAATTTTTGTGATGGAGGCAATGTAGTTTTGTAGAACAGATTTAGACTGCAACAGGACAGAATAACTGGGGATGCTTGGCACAGAGCAGAGGGAGCCTTTTCATCCCCTGGTGCTGCTTTAGCTTGCCTGTCTCCACAGCAGTCAGTATCATTTGCCGCTCTCTGAGCCTTGCACATTTGGGAAGCAGGAATCAGTCTGGAGTGTGTACAGTACAGGGAGAAAATAAAAATGTTGGAGCAGGCAGGGTGAAAGTAAAGACAAATGTCTCCCTCAACCTTTGGGTTTTGGTCTCTGCAGTTGAAGTTGAAGCAGCTTTTGGAGGATGGATTAAGGAGACATTTTGTGTGCTCCTTAGTGCCCCGGTGTTGGGACGTTTGTCACACAGCAGCTGGCATGCTGCCTTTCAGGGCTTCAGGCTCTTGGGCAGAAAGAGGGAAGTAGTCAGTGAGGAGAACAACTGGGCCTGAGAGCTCCAGAAGCTGCCTTCTGCAAATGGCCTTTGCTACTTCTGTGTGTATGTGTCACAGCCAGAATTTTTGCCGTAGGCAGGGATTGAGAGATGGTTCCCTTCTAAATGAGGAGTCGTGTTTGTTGCATTCCCGGTTGAGTATTTAACAAACCTCTGCCAGAAATGTTTCTGTGTTTGTTTCCCTTATGTCCACTGTATGAGGGGGTGGTTTAGGATATTATAAAATGACTCACCACATGGGCTGTTGCAAAATAGAGCTGTCTTGCATTTCAAGCTACAGCATAATTTGCAAGTATTTTACACCTAAGATCTTACAGCTGTAAACTTGTGTGATGGGTGATTCATTGGTTTTATAACTGGTTTTGGTGGTGGTGTACTGGGAATATTTTTCTTGCTGTCCCAAACCACTAGCTTAATTCTGGCATCATTCATTTACAATAGCATTCAGGGATCTGTAATCTTTCCTTTTTTTCCGTGCACACCCAAAGATACATGCACATTCCCATGGGAGCTCTTTCTTTTGCTTGGATCCCTGTATGACACATAGCAGAGGTCAGTAGCTCATTTTGTTGTTTCTTCCCTCTACCAAATGTTTCTGACATGCCTCTGTGTAAAGACTGGCAGATACATAGGGATGAATCCAAAATGCGCTTATAATCTGTCTTAGCACAAACCTGTTTGCCAGAAGCTTGATAGGCTTTTGGAAGCTTTACTGGTGCACATTGCTAGCAGTGAGCTATGTACTGCATGGACAAAAACGTACCCTTGAAAGTAAGACACACAGATCTGAATATAATGACCCAATAGTAAGAACAGATGCAGGTGTGTGTTAGTTTTCACTAGTGCAATTCTTCTTCCGTTAGTGCTGGTCTGCCAAACCTCTGGGTTGTGCCCTTAGCAGAAGGGGGAGAGTGGCTTTGCTTTGAGGTTGCTGTAACTCAGTTCCTGTGGCCAGGGGCAGGCTGGGCAGACTGCTCCTGCCTTGTGCATGCAGGAGGACAGGCAGAGCACACAGGACCGGAAACGCTGGAAGATATTAGTGCCCCAGGGCACTTCTTGCCATACAGCTACAGCCAGAAGAATGGGTTTGTTTAGTCAGAGTGAAATCCCGTATGGCCTGCCACTGTTATTTCTCTGTCCTGGGGGCTCAGAGCTCACAAATGCTGTGGGTTGGGAAGTTGTAGAACTGGGTGTTAGGCTCTGCCTGCAGCAGCCACAGCAGCATAAATCCACTATTTGCTTTCTTTGTTTATTTTTTTTCCCAGGTCCCTGATAACTTCCTGCCCCCAGTTCCCATCACCTCCCCCATCATGAACCCACTGGCAGATTCACAGTCTCAGATGCAGCAGCCTTCAGCTCTGGCACCACCCACGGGGGCTCTGGCACCACCCACGGGCACACCCAGCTTCCCACCTTCTTACCTCCCCGCAGGCCAGCTGATGCTGCAGGGTGGCTACCCCCCCACTCCCCAGCCCCTGGGGCCGTGCATCATGCCGACCACTGCCTCCAAACCCAGTACGGAGGGGGCCCCTGGGGCCCCAATCGGCAATGCCATCCAGGTAACATAGCCCCAGTATTGCACTGTTACGGGTTGTATGTCAGCAGAGTCTCACGGGCTGGAATCTTGTTGGCTGGGCATTTTTTGTACCTCCAAAGTGCACCGCGGTGTTTTTAGTTACTAGCTTTGCACTGCGTTGGCATTTTGCTACTGTAATCTCCACCTAGACAGTACCTCTTTGCAGTTAACCCTCTAGTCAGTATGGACCAACAAGCTGATTCCTTCTGCAACTTCACAGTTCTCCAGAGGAAACGATAGCAGGTGCTGACATTATCACCTGCACACGCCCACAGGGAAGAAGTAGAAGTTATGCCAAGCTGGCTAATGGTGCTTGGTTTAGTTGAAAACAACATGTAGTTACGGTGACCTGGAAAAGCCTTACCTGCTCTGTTTCTCAGCATGTGCAGGCACTGCCAACAGAAAAGATTACCAAGAAGCCCATCCCTGAGGAGCACGTTATTCTGAAGACAACATTTGAAGCTCTTATCCAGAGGTGCCTGCTGTCTGCCTCTGATCCGGTAGGTCTGTATGGTGTTCCCAGAGTACCCCTGTGTTTGGGTGAATGCACTGGTACCTGAGCACAGCCGACCATCACAGCCTTTTCCTTTGAATGGCTGCTTCGAGCAGCCACAAGCAATGAATAGAAAGGCCATATGCACAAAGGATGTGTCATCTGGGGCCACAGCATAGCCCAGTTGCCCGAGATCTTTTGACTCTGGTTCTTACAGGCCTCAGCGTGGGCAGGAAATTAACCTGTTGCATCCCCTTCTGCTCCTGTCTTCTAAGGAGGAGGGTTGGAATTGGTTGCAGTTGAGGTTTTGATGTTGATGGTTAAAAAAAAAATAAAAATATTTAAAAATCTGTAACCTTCAGAAAGGGCTGTCCTTCATACTGTCAGATGATCAATGTGAAGGCATGCCCTGCACTGAGCTGTTTGGAGGGGATTTCTTGCTCATTTGCTTAACTGCTTCTTTTAATTCAAAGCAGGAAGCAGCTGCTATTATGCCAGATCTGAGCCTGAGGCTCACATATGTGACTACATGTCTCAGATCTGTGATTTGTGATTTCTGATAACAAACTCATTTCAAAAGGAAACAATAGGTAGAAGTAGAGAAGTGAAAGGTTATGAACATTAACATAACTACTGAAGCTGGATAAGAACATTTCCTGTGGCAGTCAGTACTTTGTATATGAGCCATCCATCTGAAAGCTTCCCATTTGTTTCCTGTGGTCAGTAAATAACACACTACCCTAAAGCCCCGATGCTGACTGTTCAGCTTGCCCCTACCACATACCGAAAGGTGGATGATAAAAGACAAGGCTGATGGTGTGCAGGGGGCTTTGTGCTCTAAATGTGCTTGGTTAGCAGCACAGACTCATGCTCCTGTTAGAGGGACTGGGAGCTGAGCTATCTGAGGGCTCTGTGGCAGTGGCTGTGGGAGTACATTGGGTGTTCAGTGTCACTTCTGTGTTATGTCCCCTGTAGCATTTCAGATGGCTCTATAGATTAGACTTGGCATTTGCATGTACTTACTTCTTTTCCCTTTGGGTCTCAGCCTAGCAGTTTCAGGTTGGACTCACTCATGCACTCCTTTACAGAAGCTTTTTGAGGCCATAAACTTATTTGGACAGACCCCATAAGGTCCAATACCATTCAAATGATCAAAATACTTTCTTTAAAGGTTAGGTTGGAGAGTGTGGTGGTAGAAGTTGGGTACTGCTTAAACCGTTTGACCTTTTCTTCCTCTGAGGGCCCCTTTTCTTAGCCACACAAAGAAGGCAAAAGCATTCAGTTCACATCTGCACCCAGGGAATGCTTTTCCGCTCTGCTAACACATTTTGCTTGCTTCTGAAGTGTCTCTGATTTTCTTAGGCTGAGCAAGCATTCCTGGCACACAGTGCTGAGAGACACAGTCCTGACTGTATACATCAGTTGTTGTCAGAAAAAATGCAGACACTACTCAGTGACTACATTCCAAAGGGAAAAATGGGAACGTGAAGAGAGCTCCTGCTTAGGGGCTGGAACAGGAAGCAAAGAGAACAAACATGCACTTCTTCCACCTAATTTCCTTTGGCTATTTACAAAACACGATTTATTCCTCTTTGCCCTAGTTGGCCATCTGTAAATTAAAACAAGCATGTATGTCTTTTCACAGGTTTTGAAATAAATGATCCAAAGTCGTGTATCTGAGAGAGTTAGCCAGTCCAAAAGAATTAACCAGTTTCTTATCTCCTCCTGGGATACTGCTTCCTTACTTGTCTCAGTTCCTTGACAGTGTAACTACTGCTGGGGGGTTTTCCACACATGGCCTGAGAGATCCACGAGCTATGTTCTCTGCTGTACCCTTTGCCAGCTGAACAGCTTTCCCTAATTTCTAGCACGCCAGGCAGCTACCAGTCTGTCTTTACACCTGAGCTAGACCATTTCTGTAGGCTTTACTTTCAGTTTTGGCAATTATTTAATCCAGGGAAACATTTCTAGTTGCCGGGGGAAATGGCACTATCCTAAGTGAAAGATGCATTGATGTTGCATACTGATTTAGGAGGAAGTTCCAGTATCCTGATGCCATTTCTACAACTGTTGGCCACCTTCTTTTTTGTGCTTCTGTAATTGTATCCTTGATGCTTTATTACTGTTTTCTGGAGTAAAATCTTCTGCAGCTGTTTGCTCAAAAAGAAAAAGAAAAAAAAAGAAATAAAAGTAGATAAAAATGCATTTCTCCGGTAGCTGCTTTGGCACTCCAGGTGGGAGTTATTATACTGGGGTTATTTTAAAAGCCTTTGGTGACAAAATAATCCCAGACACATCAATGGGTGGTTTATATAAAATCACGGAAGCACAAAGGATCTGTAGGGACGGTTTGGATAGGCTATTAGGTTTTTCTGTTAACAGTAAAAACTTACAAACAAACTCAAGATTTTACTAATCACATAATGAAAAATATAATCAGGATTTTCTGTAAATTATGGCTGAGTTGTACATACTTTGACTTCAGTCACTGCATGTGCCTCTAAGCTCTCATTGATGTTGCTGTATATTTGATTCCAGTAATAATTTTACCTGGATATCATTATGCTTTGCCAGTGAAGCACAGAAAAAGAATTCCTACTACAACTCATAATTCTGTCCCTTTCCTTATCAGCTAATACCAGTGGGTTTTGCAGATGAGCAGTGGCTTTTGGGATGCACCTCTACAGTTTAATATTCTCTGTAGCTAGCCAGAGCAGTTACATGTGGAGAACTACATTCATATCATTTGGTCTTTGCTAGCAAAATCAGGGGAGACAAGTACTGAGCAAAGAATTAAAATGATGTGTTAGGAAAATGTTGTTGAGCATGGAATTTCCTGTGCTGCATGAACTTTTTTGCAGTGATACTGGATCCGTATGATGGTGTTAAAATCACAGTGGTTTAATGTATTTTTTTTCTCTTGCAGCAAACCAAGAGGAAACTAGATGATGCAAACAAACGTCTGGAGTTCCTATATGACAAACTTAGGGAACAGACAGTAAGTTCTGGTTTTGCTTTATTCTTCCCCCATCAAAATATTGCAGGTATAGCCAAGAACTTTGTTGGTGGTGTGGATTCCTCTGCAACATGTAGCAGGTGCCTGTTCTTTTCCTGGAAGCATGCTTCACATCCCATTATTGGATGTTTCCATGCTTTTCCCAGAAACGGCCAGGTAGAGTGCTTGGCCTCAAGCGCCTGTGCGGACTTGACAGTGTTTTGGGGTCATGCCATGGGTTTTAAGGTGCTGTGCAGGGACTGCACTGAGCCAGAGAGCAAAGCTCTTCACAGTAGGTACTGGGTGAGCATATCAGGAGGGTCCCTGTCCCTAGCTGCCTGCAGAATTAGCCAACACAGCAAGTTCCCCAGCTCCCAGTAGGGAGTGAGGGACATGCAGCCTAGGGTGAAAACAGCTCACAAGATTTTAGATGCTGGAGGGTCACTGACTTCATTGGGAGGCAGATGTGCAAGTACATTTGAAGATCTGGTAATTTTTTGAAAGCCTTCCAGGAGGTTGTGGCAGAACAGAGGGCTGGGCTTTGATCTCTCAGTACCTTGGGTTTGGAGTGGTCTAATCTTGTCATTGTCAGGCCACCTTTGCTGTGTAGTAAACTTTACCCCAAAGGCATAAAAGCTCAGTAGGGTTTTCATGCACCACGGTCTGTCACAGCAGGCCTCTCACCCAGGGCTTTGCATCCAGGGACTCGCAGTGAAGGCTTGCAGGGGTTTGCTGTACCACAGAGAGAGACCTCCTGGTTGTAATCTGCTGTTAAGGCTTCCCAGTGACTGTTCCCAGTGTGGTGCAGCTCTGAAGATGGCTGTCTTTAAAGAAAGGAACTAATTCCTGCTCCTTCCTGAGGGCCAAAGAATTTCTGTTTTTCTAGCACTAGTGTACGCACTGGTTTGGTTGTTTTTTTTAAAGCCCTGCCTTGCCTGGCTTCCTTGCAGCTCTCTCCAACCATCATTAGTGGTTTGCACAACATTGTGAAGAGCATCGAAACCCGCAACTACCAGGAAGGACTGAACATCCACACGCACATAGTCAGCACCAGCAACTTCAGTGAGACCTCTGCTTTCATGCCTGTTCTGAAAGTTGTCCTCACGCAGGCCAATAAGTTGGGTGTCTGAAGTAACCCTGCATTTGCAAAACCTTGACAGTTGCTTTTCCAAAGAAGTGCATTTCTACAGCAAACATGCAGGAAATGGACCAAGCGCTAGTCCTTACGGCATGTCGCAGTAGAGCACTGACAAACGGCATTACACTCTCCCTGCAAAATACTTCACCCTAGGAAGGGCCCTGGAGCCCTGGTGCTTTTCTTTTTATTTTAATCATTTTCCCATCCCTAATGATTCTTGTCTACAAATAGAATATTTAATGAATGATGCCCTATATCGTCAATTTTTAGATGCATGTTATACTTCTAAACAGTGGCTTTTAATAACAGATATACGTGATAAAACAAGATAGGTTGTGTATCAGACTCTAAAACAGATTATTCCCTTCTGCTCTACTGTTCCTTGTCCACCAGATTAAAGAGTCTGATTGTATTGTATCTGGTCTCTCATTTTATGAAGCTGCTTGCAGTTCTTTTATTACGAGTTACATGTTAAATAGCTTAATTTTGCAGTGGGGCAAATGAGCAAAATAAAGGCTAATGTGATATTTTCAATAAATGTTAATTTATTAAAACAAGTCTTTATGAAGTACAACTTGGACATCTTGAACTTGGAGTAGAGGGGGGTGGCTTTCTGTTGTGTCCTAGACTTGAGGATATTTTTTTCTCCATGCTCATCACTAAAAGCTCTGTTTAACATTTACTCTCAGGGTTTTCCATTTCAAGGAAAGCTTTAGCAAGAATTTTGAACACGTGTGGATGCATTTTTAAAAGCTAAGAGCGGAAATAATGCAGAGTGGTTTAAGCTGTCCACAGAGACACAGATATTTAGTGTGTAAGCGAGGTACAAATTGTTTCTTGCAGTCCCCCGAACCCAGAGATCCGCTGCCGCTGCTGCGCTCCTTGCCCCTGCAGGGACATGCTGCACTGTCAAACTGGGGGTGTGCCTCTGCTGGCCGTGGGCAAGTTGGGTTGGGAGAGTTTCACAGCATATGTTGTACTGCAGCACTGCTGGGGCTGGCTTTTAAGTTTTAAAATTTGGAAACAGCATGACGTGAATAGCAAGTATGTCTATGAAAAACAGTAGTTGGAAGAAATCTACAGGCTTTTTTAAAAAAGTTTTGCAGTTTTGCCTGAAAACTACCTGAAGTATCAGTGCCCATGAAATGTAAATTTGGCACTATATACTGCAAGAAATACTATAAATAACAATGCAAATCATTGTTGACTTCTGTGACAAACTGAATATGAGTTACAGATTTGTCAGGCAAAACAGTTCCATCCCTCTGTCAAAATTGAGCTTAATTTGATTTCCTTTCCAGTCTTTTGTGACTTCATAAGCTTTTAGAATTGGTGAACATAAAGCATCAGTTTGGAGTTACTTTGTTTCAGGAGTTTAAAAAAATTGGAGTAATTTTCTTCCCCTTCATCTAGGTTATAGGTTTCTAAGCATTGTTACAAGTAGATTGTATTCTGCTCCTGTCATTTGGAAGGTTTGCAGGTATCCTGCTTTGTTCATCCATGCACTTAATAAAACCTCCTTGCCCAGCAGGCTCTGGTATTGGCTGAATCATATCAGAAAGGTCAAGTATGTGAATGCTGCCAGAAACTGGTAATAAGGAAACAGCAGTCTGCCTCAGCAGGA